CTGCAACGGTCGCGCTTGCATCAGTTTACACCTCAGACGTCGTTACGGGCATTGTGACAGACGCGTTTCTCGACTTTATTTTATTCATTTGACTCGCACGGATGCAGTTGTATGTATGTATGCATGTGTGTGTAGGCATGTGCAAGACATGTCGTAAGTGTTAACAAAGCAGACAAGAGACATGGCAACGCATTAACGGCTAATGTGAAATGTAAAATCAAAAGTAATTAACTTTGGCGAGTTCGTTGTCCTCAATGCGTCGAGTATAATTAGGTTGGCGTTTACGCCCTACGCGCTTAACCCATTAACTCGCGCATTTACTGGTTTACGCAAATGTTTCGTCACAAATTAGTGTAGTCAATTTTTCACAACATATTTTTTTTCTGGAATTTTCATATTGTAGATACACCTCTTTGAGTCGAAGGTACTTTTCTAAGATAACTTTCTGGAATTGTCATCTTTTATATATCGACTGAACATATCTGGGTTAATGTTTTGGGTAAGTAGCAGGTCAATGCTGGAATCATATCAAATATCTCTAATTTTTTTTGCAAAATCTACGTCAAGTGGAGGCCGCAAAAGAGACCTGAAAACCCTACATTCACAAATGCACGTTCGTTTATTGAATTCAGCATGTCAACTTGTATTGTTTCAGACATAATTTAAGGGCGATAATAAAGAATTGTGTTAAAATTGTATTACAGAGAGTGAGATCTAGGTATACAGGGTTTGTCCAGAAAGAAATTGGACTTCCTTAAATTCTGTGTGAAACTCGGTAAATCTGAGACAGAGACGTTTGATATGATCAAGCGGGCTTACCCAGATGTATTTTGGTGGCACCAGGCGTTTTTGGAGGGCCGGAAAGAAGGCGCTGATGAAGACCGTGCTGGGAGACCTGCGACTTCGACAACCTCCAACAATGTGACTCGTTTGCGCAAAGTTTTGAACTCAAACCGTCGACTAAGTATTCGTTTAATTGCCCAGATGTTAAATTTATAAAAATCTGTGGTTCATGACATTGTGACGGAGCACTTGAACATGGTATGCGTGAAAATGGTCCCAAAGTGCTCACTGACGACCAAAAATTGCGGCGAGTAGAAGTTGAACATATGTGAAAGTAACCCCCAATTTTTGAATAACATAATCACAGAATATACAGGAATGACGTAATTGTTTCCTTGCCTTGAAAGGCCGATGAAAGGCAAGCATTTTGAGGGGATCCAAGCAGCATGCACTCGACTCTCAAAGCTATTCCGGAGAATGCCTTGAGGGACGCCTTCAATGCTTGGAAATCGCGCTGGCAGCGCCGCATCGACAATATTTTTATTAAAACTCAGGAGCCACCCCACCACACAAAATTAAGATGAAAGATAAACTAAATCGGCTCATCTGACATTATTTTTAGAAATAAACTGTATATTTTTTAGCTCTTATGTAATAAGTATTTTATAAAAATACCTACAGTAATAAAAATATTTTTTATAGTAAAAAAATTATTTTCGGGTAATTAAATATAGAATTGGTTATACTATATGTATAGAAATACTGATTCAGAAGAATGGATTATTAATTCAAAATAGTATAGTTTACACCAAAAATTAGAGTCCAGCTACCAAGGAAGATGGTTGAGGCTCAGCGCCTCATTTGATTTTCTGTGTTCTTCTATCGTATCTCAGCGCTTTTAGTCAAAACTATCCAGAGGACAGCATATAGCATAAACCTTGGACGACAAATCATAAAATTCTGGGTTTAGAGGTAAAATTAGACAGTTGTTGCAGAAAAACTCCCTCACCATACTTTCATAACCAGAAGTATAATAACAAAAAGAAAAAATATTACGTTGCCGTTACCTAAGGGGTTATATGGGTTTCCACGATCAAACGGCTGAATCTTCAAAACTCTTGCTCGAATCAACTTGCCAATTTAGGACAATATTCTAGAGATCTGTGATGAGCTGATATATATATATATTTTGAAACCGTGAAACTCATGTACAGTCGTGGCTAACTTAATATAGCTTGTTCGGGGTATAAAATATTTATTTCGACATTTATTCCAAATTTGACAAATTCAATAGACAACTTTTTAAGTTTTCACAGATGCTCAGCAACAATTATTAATTACTAATTTATACATATACCTATATACAGTGTATAAGTATAATTTAAACAACTCTACTTCTAGTCTTTCATTTTAGATAGCGTTTACATGAGTACTCTTTTGCCGCTCAATAACGGCAATTTTCTTTAGGTATCACTCTGTGCATTCTCTTCTTGTGTATGGGCGAAGACATCGCTTAGGCGATTATAGCCGAGTTTCCAACAGCCCACCAGTCTCCAATTGGGGAAGCCAGGTCCTTCTCCGCCTGGTCTTGACAACCGGGTGGAAGTCTTCCTCATCCTCTGCTTCTCCCGGCGGGTGCTCTCAGAACTGGAGTGTTATCATCCTTTCGGATGTCATGACCTAGCTATCTCAGCCACTGTCTCTTAATTCGTTGAATGTCGTCATATATCTCGTACAACTCATCATTCCATTGACTGCGGTATTCGCCGTTGCCAATGCGCAAAGGACGATAAATCTTCCGCAGATTCTTTCTTTAGAAAATTCGTAACGCCGACTGGTGAGATGTTGTCTTCGTCCATGCCATGGGGGATAATAAGTTACTTGTAGAGTGTAGTCTTTGTTCGTCGAGAGTGGACTTTATTTCTCAATTGCCCACTCAGTCCGAAGAAGCACACGTTGGCAAGAGTTATACTACGTTGAATTTCTTATAGAAGATTGTACCTTCAAAAGAGTCCATGTGTGAACCGGCAATTGGGCAACCCAAAAAAATATAAATAATCATTGTTTATTTGCAAAAGGAAAATTGTGTATTATATGATTTCAGTTTTGTTTTTGCTTTTCTTCCCATTAATTCAATTTGGATGAATATCCGTTTCGCATAAATTATTATGTATTTATTGTTGCATGCACACAGATGAATGGCTGTTTGCATCTTTTTCCCATTTCAAATTGCCGTATTGCGATATACGTGTATGTGTGTATGTGTGTATATATGATGTATGGTCAAATTAGAAATAAAGTATAATAACATTATTACAATAAAGTCCGCCAGATGAGCTTAATTAGCATTATTCATGCGACGCCAAGGCGATTGAGAAGCGCAACTTGGAGATGTGAGCTTTAATAATGCAATAGACTCTGTACTTACGTTACAGCATTTAAATATATTGTAGTTGTTGCATTTGTTTAGTTTGCATGTTGGCCTCTGGAGAGGACAGTGACTGATGGGTTCGCAACCACCTTGTTATTTAATATGCTCGTAAATAAAAAAAAATTGTAATGAATGTGAAATGGAGTTGAGCGGAAAATTATAGTAAAAGTCATAGGTACAGAAAAAACCGTTAACTTGTTACCGATATGCTTTTCAGATCAGGTTTCCAATGCACAATGAGCTCTAAAAGAGCAACATACAATCAAAACTTCTGTTGTTTTCCACAGCAGGTGGTTTCACGTAACTGGAGTTGATTAGATATTTTATCCTGCCACGGATTGTCAACCCGAGAGCTATCTTCAAAATTACTGTACAGTATTAACAGAATGACAATGCCAAGCTACGGACAGCATATTTTCAAGTTTTCTCGCTATGTAGTTGGAGAACGTCAACATAGAAGCGGAAGCGTTGAGATGCCGGCTTTAATTAGGTAGCTGTTCACAAGAAAGGCGGAGTGAGCCGGGGTGTTCTCGTGGTTGTCGGTGTTTGTCGAAGTCGCAGGCCTCCAAAAAGTCCAGGTGCAACCTAAAAACACCACTTCTTACTAAATCAGCATCTGGGTAAGTCTGCTTGATCATATCAAACGTCTTTGTCGCAGATTTACCGTGTTCCGCACAGAATTTAATCGCGTATCTCTGCTCTAACGAACGCTGCATTTTCGGCTTGCACCACTCACAGAAACACGTCGCGCGAAAATGTTTGACCTGAGCCTGCAGGTGGACCAAGGACCAAGTGGAGAAGGACTTGTCTTCACTTTGAATATCTAATTGGCGCCACGTAGCGAAACGAAGAAACGACTGGCGCGCGGTTGTTAACTCGGCTATAATCGCGTAAGCAGTGACTACTCCAATCAAGAAGAATAAGAGCCTGCAGGTGCTCGGAGACAACAGACCAGCCCCTCTTTCGTTAGCTAGGAACGCCCTCTACCGAATCCAGTCGGTGCGCGCACTCTCCGAAGTATAGTTGCGACATAATAAAATCAGTCCTATTACTTTCCGAACAAACCCTGTAGTCTTGTCTTGTGATGGCTGTGGTTTAAACCAAAAGGCAGGTAATATTGAAAATGCAGTTCAGTGTGGAGTCGCGCTGCGGCCAAATACCGGACCCACAGTACGGCAGAGGTTTTAGGCATCGAAGTCGACAATGGTGGAAATGGTATTCTTCCTGACCAATTGGAACCAAATAGTACTTACAAAAAGCTTGTATTATTTGGGGTGGTGATCTATGTGCTTTTAAGCACCATGAAGTTAGGTCGACGTCGTCAGGTACTGACGTAAAAAACACTACGACCGATAGGTGTCCTTTCTCCAGTAGAAAAAACTCTTAATGCATGCTTACCCTCGCCTTTCATTCTCCTCCTACTTCGTTTCCGTAAAATGCGCTGCATTTCGCCTTAATATGTGGTCTTATTCAAATATCAACTGTGATAGGACTATTCTAGGAGCTGTCAACTATACAACGCTACTAGAAGACATTGAACAATCCGCACTCCCTCCAGAGCTGAAGTGGTCGACCATGAATTCCCTGAGCGGTCGGCAGTTGAGGTCGAGATCAAAATTCTAATTAAGAACAATTAAGCAGGCTCATTACTGTAACTTTTTTTTTCATTTCATATTAAAAATAGAAATCCAAATGTGTTAAATTTAATTTTGCATGCAGTTGCAACCCTGTCTAAAATAACCAAACAGCTGTGATAATCACCGGCGACGCTGAAAACGAATTATCCATGTTATTGTTGTTATGTGAAACGTGAATGAGTGATTATTGTAATTGAATAGCTTCTGCAATTCCAAAAATACAAAACGGTGTGACTAATAACTATAAACGTTTGCATTGAAGAATAGCAAATTCGAAACCAAAGTTTTGAAACATAAACTTTGCAAAATTATTAACTAAAAATTTTCAACTCTACTATGAATCTATTATGATTATCACGCGCTTTGCATATTTTAAGATAATCGCAACGAATGAAATTTATGAATTGATTTGAACAGCCTTTCACGCGGTATGTATACAATGCAGCTACGAAATCCATTGTGTTGACCACTGTCGCTGTAGCTGGACGTGTTTGTTTGTATTCTATTCCATTTTACTGTACTGTACACTTTTCTTCCGGTGTGCATAGTAATCAGAACACTTTGAACATAACACGTCTAAAGTTCAATTAAAGAAAAGTAATAATTGTTGACACAAAATGGTTGCACAATCAAAGCTAAGTCAAGTCTTCAGTTATGAATCTTGGATACATGCCGTTTCTGGAGCAGCCGTAAGTGTGTTGAAAATTTTATATGCGCCAATATAATTATAATTTGTATAATTTCCAGGGTGGCTGCATTGCTATGAGCACTTTCTATCCACTTGACACTGTTCGGTCGCGTTTACAACGTAAGTTGAATGTGCAAATTATATGAACTTTGCACCATTAACCTCGTATCTATACGTTTGATATATATTTGGTGTGAGGTGTTTGCAATGTGATAGGTTATAGCGAACAAAAAGTCAACTATAAGCAGATGTATTAATTTGGTAAATATTTCAGTTGAAGATCCAGATAAAAATGGAGAGGCGCGTAGTACCGTAAAAGTTCTTAAAGAGATTATAACTGGCGAAGGCTTCCAGGCATTGTATCGCGGTTTGGGACCGGTTATACAAAGCCTGTGTATTTCAAATTTTGTATATTTTTATACATTCCACAGGTGGGTATTACTTACTACTATATACCGTTCACCTCTCATTTAATTATACGTCTTCTCTAACAGCTTAAAAGCTTTAACTGTGTACAGCAAGCAACAGTCTGCTTTAAAGGATCTATTCCTAGGCACAATTGCCGGTATTATTAATGTATTTACTACCACCCCTTTTTGGGTCGTAAACACGCGCGTTCGAATGCGTAATGTAGCAGGAACTTCAGACGATGTCAATAAACACTACAACAACTTGATCAGCGGTCTGTTGTATGTTGCTAAAACTGAAGGCATTCGTGGTCTATGGTCTGGTACTATACCGTCACTAATGCTTGTCTCTAATCCAGCTTTGCAGTTCATGATGTATGAACTATTAAAACGTAATCTAACGAAATTCACAGGCACTGAGATATCAAGTTTGGGTTTCTTCCTAATTGGTGCGCTTGCCAAAGCTTTTGCTACTGTACTCACATATCCTTTACAACTAGTCCAAACGAAACAACGTCATCGCACAAATACCACTCAAGAGAACAACAAATCAGCTCCAGCATCAAATGACGCGAGTATGATGGCAATTATGTTGAACATACTACAACATCAAGGATTTAAGGGTCTTTTCCGTGGTTTAGAAGCAAAAATATTACAAACCGTGTTAACGGCAGCGCTTATGTTCATGATTTATGAGAACATTTCATCCACGGTGAAAGTGTTATTAAATAGGACATCTGCAGCGCTCAAATAGATTTAAAAATATTCACTTTGTGGATATTCATACAAGTACATATAATTTATTTATATTGTTTTTTCTTTAATGGTATGATTATTTTTTATATATTTACATAAATTGAATTGAATCGTATAAAAGTTCTCAAACTTTGTTAAAAAGGCTTTTGTTGTGTTTGGGAATTTTTTGTTATAAAAAATAATTTGCTAACAATCATGATTTCGTTGTATTTTTGATTATAAATTAAGTCAAGATTGCCAAAAATAAGCGTTTTGTTGCTGTTGTATTTTGTTGTTAGTATAAAAAATGTAATATTTGAGTGCTTCTTTGCATGTGCCATAAATAAATAAATAAGTTTAGAAAGACAATATCGTCAGATTATTTTGGTTATGAGGTGTACCGATTTCAATTATTTGCTTTAATCTGATTTACATGGTACCCGTATATAATATTGATTATTACTTACCGACTTGTACCATAAAAACATATTTCGATAAAATTGAGTTTAATTATCTTTAATGATACATCGCTACTAATCAGTAAGAAATTTTCTGTTATTCCTCAGTTTTCGACACATCCTATTCAATTTTATCGTCGTTAACGCTTTGTTCATTTTTGTTGTCAACTTGTTTATCATCACTTTTGGAAGCTTCTGTCAATTGCGAGTCTTTGTCTTTAGAAAGTTCTACGGAATCTGCTTCATTTTGGTTTTCATCGTTCTCTTCATTTGGGGGTTTATCTTTGCTATTTGCCAACTCCACCAAATTATATTTCTTGTATTTCAAATAACTATCCAGCACGGATAAACAGCATAACCCCTTAATCACCTCTACAACTATAGTTTTTGCAGCATTTTTGAGATCCACACTATTTTTTATATTCTTTGATTGAACCAGCGCAGCTAGATCATGAATAACATCGTCACGTTTGACATCATTGTTATAGCGCTTGTTGAAAATAATCGCAAAGGTAGTGCCTTCTCTCAGGAAATATTTATCGAAAAGTACACCACCGGCGCTATTGATATCTGTTAAATTGGCGCGACATACCACTTCAACGGGTACTAGACGCAGTAAGAAGCGTGATTTCTGCTCACGTGTTTCCGCAATATCGCTGATAATCCGTGTTCCCAGTTCCACTGGATCTGGTAATGTAGTACGAATGAATACGCAATTGGTTGCGCCTGTGTCCACTACTTGGAAACGTTGTTTGACGGTATTTTTATTCTCCTTCGTCGATTTTGTAGCATCGATTTCTTTCTGTAAGTCATCTGCTATATCACCAACATCTTCCGGCTCTGGCTCTTTGTCCATAGTAGACATGATAACATCTTTATCCTTCGGGCCATATAATTCATCGGCATAGTGGTTCAGTACATTATATGCTTCTCGAACACAGTCTTTTTCACGGAAGTTACAGGTGGCAAGGAAACCGCGTTGACCCACTTCCAAAAACTGACGCTTATTACTTTTGAAGTAATTTTTTTGCTTGAAATGTGAAAACTTTTGCTTCTTTGCTGCCGGCCCACTCATTTTTAATATATATTTATTTTAACAGAGAAAATAATATTGTTTTGGTTTTGGGAAAGAGCGGCATGTGTTTTAGCCGATTGAGCGATTAAACAAAACGCAGAGTTGCAGTCATTATAATTCTTGTACTAGAGACCAACAAAATTATTAGACACAAAATTTATAAAAAAAATAAATTTCTTATACTTCATTTAATCGGAATAAATAGTTAAGAAATATTGAAGTAATCAAATGTTAATTTTTTATATAACAAATAATTTTTACTAATACAAAGAACGCAATTGTTTGTGGGCATTTATTATATTGTTTATTGAAATTGGTAGCTCTACGAATCACAACCAATTTCACAATCATCCCTTTTCATGTTCTACTTTCCTTGTCCGTTCGTCTACTTCGTTCATTTCAATTTCGTTCGCCGATGGGAGAGGTTCATTTCTGTGGAAATACTTCGCTTTTGATGGGAAATGTTTCCGGTGAAGTTTTAACAAAATGGCGGATATACGCCAACTAAATCTTCTCACATCCAATAGTAAATAATTAAATTTTTTGGATATAAGAACGAAAGGTATTTAATTGATGTATAATCTAATTGAAGAAATAGTTATTTGTTGAAAAGCTGACGATTTGTGCACGATGTATCTCCAGAGACACAGAAATGTCTGTGCTATGGTCGCATTTTGAACGTGCTAAAGAAACAAATTTTGCTACTCATTAGCATCGTTAGGTTACACCGAAATCCATTACTGTAACCATGGAATTCCAGAGTAGGACAACTAAAATTCAAAATACCGTACATCAGTTAGAAAATCGATTAAGGTAGGAAAGCTTTAACGTTGATTTTTTTTTCTTTGGTTTTAGTGAAATTGTTACAAGATGTATTTATACAATTTGACATTACAAAAAAGTACCGGTGTTACCCACGCCGTTCATGGGAACTTCTCTGGTGGTAAACATCAAGAGGTTATCCTTTCTCGTGGCAAATCTCTTGAATTGGTACGTCCAGATTCTAATACCGGCAAAGTACATACTGTCTTGTCAGTAGAGGTCTTCGGATGTATACGTGCGTTGATGTCATTCAGATTGACGGGTGGAACCAAAGGTGAGTGCACAGATATCAAATTTGAATATATTTATTTTTTTTTGGCACGAATCCCTATTGAATTTTCATAAGCAATTGAAAACTTCTATAAGACTTATATAACCGTCTGAGTGCAAAAGAAAATAGCTTGGCGTCGCATTTGATATGGTTTTGTGCCATATTGAACTGAAACTCTGAGTAACATTTTAAACTTAAAATTTTCAGTATAAGTACAGTATTATTGATAATATATATTATTTTCAGATTATATTGTTGTTGGTTCAGACTCGGGACGGATTGTCATACTTGAGTATAATCCAACTAAGAACTCTTTAGATAAAGTACATCAAGAGACTTTTGGAAAATCTGGATGCCGGCGCATTGTGCCTGGTCAATATTTCGCCATTGATCCTAAAGGTCGTGCTGTGATGATTGGCGCTGTAGAAAAACAAAAGTTAGCCTACATTCTTAATCGTGATACTCAAGCACGTCTTACAATTTCATCACCTTTAGAAGCACATAAGTCGAATACACTCACTTATCATATGGTAGGAGTGGATGTTGGTTTTGATAACCCTTTGTTCGCATGTTTGGAAATCGATTACGAAGAGGCCGACAACGATCCAACAGGTTTGTGAAGAAAAAAACATATTTATACATTTTTATTGGCACTTTATAGACATGCCGGTTGAGTAGATTAAACACACAATTGGCTTGGCAAAGTGCTAGATAAATTGGCTACTGAACCATTGGTACTTGTATTAAACTATATTGCAAATACTTCACTGATATGTCGCCTACAAGTAAATATAATATATAACTTTGTTCATCATTAAAGAAATTGACCTTTGTAAGCACTTTTTAGACATGCCAATTAAGTGGCTCAACGACTTAATTGGCTTGGCAAAGTGCTATAAAATTTTTTAAAATTATTGCAAATACTTCACTTATTTGATGTTAACTTATTTTTATATGTAACAGTTATTTCGACATATGACGGCAATTCTAAAATTATTCCCGTAACATTACAGGTGAAGCTGCGCAACGTACACAACAAACATTAACTTTTTACGAATTGGATCTTGGTCTCAACCACGTGGTGCGCAAGTACTCTGAACCATTGGAGGAACATGCAAACTTTCTTATATCTGTTCCGGGCGGTAATGACGGTCCTTCTGGTGTACTGATTTGCTCAGAAAATTATCTCACATATAAGAATTTGGGAGACCAGCATGACATACGTTGTCCCATACCACGTCGACGTAATGATTTGGATGATCCTGATCGTGGCATGATATTCATTTGTTCTGCAACACATCGCACAAAGAGCATGTATTTCTTTTTGGTGCAAACCGAACAGGGCGATATATTTAAAGTCACACTCGAAACGGATGACGATGTGGTATCTGAGATAAAGCTCAAATATTTCGATACTGTACCGCCGGCAATTGCTATGTGCGTATTGAAAACGGGTTTCCTCTTTGTAGCTTGCGAATTTGGCAACCAGTAAGTTGAAAATAAGTAGAAACAAAAGCAAATGTTTTATAACTTGTATTTTTTTTTATAGTTATCTTTATCAAATTGCGCATCTCGGCGACGATGATGATGAGCCCGAATTCAGCTCAGCTATGCCACTTGAAGAGGGTGAAACATTCTTCTTTGCGCCACGTCCACTGAAAAATCTAGTTCTGGTGGATGAAATACCTTCATTTGCGCCTATAATTACGTCACAAGTAGCTGATTTGGCCAATGAAGATACACCACAATTGTATGTATTGTGCGGTCGGGGACCACGTTCTACTATGCGTGTGCTTCGCCACGGCTTGGAAGTCAGCGAAATGGCTGTGTCAGAACTGCCAGGCAACCCTAACGCTGTATGGACAGTTAAGAAACGCATTGACGGTTAGTATTCATGTAGCATTTATATGTCATACTATAGTTGTAAGAAGTGAGAGTTGAAAATGCAAGTTAAATACGTGTACAACTTACGCATTGCTTACATTTTACCTATATTTGTACAATATTTTTAATGTAAACTGGTGTATTTGATGCTTATGTATACATAATACCATCTCCTCACCCTATGCTACCAAACATCCATGTTCCTCACATGCTACTTTGTACATAAGATCTTAAATCCTACATGCAAAAGCACCTAATTAGAAGAACATAAAAATCAAACACCAGTTCTCTTCTATTTCAGGCGGTTAACTCTTGCATTGTGTTGTGCCGGTCGGCGTGACTGTCGAGTTACTTGTGCATAAAATTATTATGAAATGATTTAATGATATACGCATGCCGGTTATTAAACTGTGCGTGCATACAATTACTTAAATTGTCTTAAATAGCATCACAAATATAGGTAAGGCAACATTTCTTGAAATCACTGATTTTTTGATCGGTGTAGTGTTTTAAGCTGATTTTATCAAAACATGATACAGATACTAAACAAAGCGATAAACAAAAGTTGTGCGTGCGTGTGTTAGCAATGAATATAAAATGATGTTACTTATCCGTGTTTCAACTGATTTTCTTTGATTAAAACTAAGGTTATCTGATTATTCATTGTCAACAGATATATGTATATATATATATATCTAATTATTAAAAAAAAATATTAATTATAGAATACAAAGTGTGCTAACCCCGCATTTCGCAAATATTTGGTCTTCTCTTCTAGATGAATTCGATGCTTATATAATAGTGTCGTTCGTGAATGCTACGCTGGTTTTAAGTATCGGTGAGACCGTTGAAGAAGTAACGGATAGTGGTTTCTTAGGCACAACGCCTACATTGAGCTGTTCCTCATTGGGTGATGATGCTCTGGTTCAAGTATATCCCGACGGTATACGTCATATACGCTCCGATAAGCGTGTAAACGAATGGAAAGCGCCAGGCAAGAAATCGATTACAAAATGTGCAGTAAATCAACGCCAAGTTGTAATTACACTGTCGGGAAGGGAGCTCGTCTACTTCGAAATGGATGCGGTAAGTAACTATTTTTTCATTAAAGTATAAATTCGCAAAAAGTTTCATTTTGATGACAAAAACACCTTAAAGAACAATCGTGTTGAGACACTTTGTGTCCTGCAGTGCTGACTAAATACAAAATATAATTTATATAATGTATGTGTAAAATATGTACTAATGCAGACCTTTGTAACTTTCAGACTGGTGAGCTTAACGAATACACCGAGCGTTCGGAAATGCCCAATGAAATAATGTGCATGGCGCTGGGTCAAGTGCCCGAGGGTGAACAGCGTTCTTGGTTTTTAGCTGTCGGCTTAGCTGATAATACCGTACGCATTATCTCATTGGATCCAAATAATTGTCTCTCTCCTTGCTCCATGCAAGCGCTGCCATCCCCTGCTGAGTCGCTTTGCATTGTTGAAATGGGCCATACGGAAAATACCACGACTGGCGCAAATGATGAACCCACTGAACGTAGCGCCAACACGTCTACAAAGGGCACAATTTACTTGAATATCGGTCTAAGCAATGGTGTACTGCTGCGTACAGTACTCGATCCAGTGTCTGGCGATTTAGCTGACACGCGTACACGTTATTTAGGCTCACGTCCGGTGAAGCTCTTCCGTATACGCATGCAAGGTTCTGAAGCTGTGCTCGCTATGTCCAGTCGTACTTGGCTTTCGTATTATCACCAAAATCGTTTCCATTTAACGCCATTGTCGTATGAAACATTGGAGTATGCTTCGGGTTTCTCCAGTGAACAGTGTAGCGAAGGTATTGTGGCTATTTCAACGAATACTTTGCGTATTTTGGCTTTGGAAAAGTTGGGCGCAGTTTTTAATCAAGTTTCATTTCCTCTCGAATACACGCCACGCGCCTTTGCAATTCATCCCGACACTGGACGGATGATTATTGCCGAGACCGATCACAATGCGTACACAGATGAGACGAAGAATGCGCGCAAACAGCAAATGGCGGAAGAAATGCGCATGGCAGCGGGCGATGAGGAACGCGAGTTGGCCAACGAAATGGCGAATGCATTTATCAATGAAATTTTGCCCGAAGAAACATTCTCTTCACCGAAAGCTGGTCTAGGTTTGTGGGCCTCGCAGATACGCGGCTTAGACCCCATACATGGTCATACGTTATTTAAAATACCGTTTGTGCAAAATGAGGCGATTATGTCCATGTGCGTACTTAAATTCAATATCGCTGCCGACGGTCGGTACTATTTGGCAGTAGGCGTGGCCAAAGAATTGCAGTTAAATCCACGCATAACAAATGGTGGCTCGATTGACATCTATAAAATTGATCCGACCTGTTCGAATATTGAGTTTATGCATCGCACTGAAATCGAAKAAGTGCCAGGCGCTTTGGCTGGTTTCCAGGGACGTCTATTGGCTGGCTGCGGTCGCATATTGCGTATTTATGATTTGGGCAAGAAAAAGCTGCTCAGAAAATGCGAGAACAAACACATTCCCTATCAGATTGTCAACATACAGGCGATGGGACATCGTGTCTATGTCTCAGATGTGCAGGAGTCTGTCTTCTTTATACGCTATAAGCGCGCCGAAAATCAGTTAATTATTTTCGCTGACGACACGCATCCACGTTGGGTGACGGCCACAACATTGCTGGATTATGACACCATTGCCATTGCCGATAAATTCGGAAATATGAGCGTGCAGAGGCTGCCGCATTCGGTCACCGACGATGTGGACGAAGATCCAACTGGCACAAAATCGTTGTGGGATCGTGGCCTGCTATCTGGCGCTTCCCAAAAGTCTGAGAATATTTCTTCTTTCCATGTGGGCGAAATTATCATGTCATTGCAGAAAGCTACCTTAATACCCGGTGGTTCCGAGGCACTGATATACGCCACGCTCAGCGGCACTGTCGGCGCGTTTGTACCATTTACCAGTCGTGAAGATTTCGACTTCTTTCAACATTTGGAAATGCATATGCGTAATGAGAATCCGCCGCTATGCGGCCGCGATCATTTAAGTTACCGCAGTTCGTACTACACCGTGAAGAATGTGTTGGATGGTGACTTGTGTGAGCAATACTTGTCTATTGATCCGGCCAAGCAAAAGAGCATTGCTGGCGATATGTTCCGCACACCGAATCAAATTTGCAAAAAGCTGGAAGACATACGTACACGCTACGCTTTCTAAGGTGAGTTGTTGTGCAGAAASTGCCTTTACATATTTTTTGTGTGATGATCATTGTTCTAAAGACACATATGTTAGAACCTGAAATCTTTTGATTGCAACAATCCGAACTTACAGCTGATTTTTTTTTAAAGAACATACTTAATTGATTTTATTTTTCACGTTTGCTTATAATTTTTTATTTTTTCTCTTTTACAGCTATTTACTTCCTTTTGTTCTGGTACTATGGTAACAAAGAATTTTTAAATTATATAGAGGTAAGAATTCCAACGTCAAAATTTTGTAGTATCAAATATATTGATTTAGTAAGATATTTGTGTGCATTTTATGATGACGAGAATTACCTTGGGACACCTTTGAAATCTGTGATTATTGGAAAATTTTATTCCTGACATTTTCAAAACTCTTACATAATAGAATAATCCTCTTCAAAGTTATTAATTGGTGTCTTCGGTTTCTTTTTTTCTACAGATAAGTGGTGTACTATTAAGATTCATCATTCATGCGACATTTAATTGGCGTTTATTAGGTTAGTATAATTAACGTTTTTAGGTTATATAAAAAATTATGGACTTTAATGATGACCAATCTTACCTTGGGACACCTATGAGAACATTTGATTAATAGGAACGAGAAATATTATCACTGATTTTTGTTTTATTTTTAACAATATATATATTTTTTTTTTTGAATTTAAAAACGTGTTTTTTTCTTTTGCAGTTTAATTGGCTCTAATGTATACTACATATAAGGACACTGCTGAGATTGTTCAAAGGTTAATATTTTCTTTTTATTACTTTATGAATTTTCAACTTTTTATTGATGATCCAAATATGTTAGACTTATGAATTTATTTGATTAAAATTTTTTTACTGATTTTTTATAGCAATATAATTCAAGTGTTGTTTACTTATGTGCAAAATTATTAACGTACTTTTTATTTACTCTCTTTTCATTACAGATCTCAACAGTATTTTGTAAATTTTTATTAAAAAACAACCACTCATGACTGCCCATTTCAAGATGAAAAATATTAATATAATAAATATTTAGAGGTTAAGTTCGCTTGCTTATTACTAGTGAAGCATTTATATTTATGTTTAGTATGTATAATCTACGTGTGTATGTTAGAAGCGACTGAACAACCTACTAACTTATTATCAAAATATATATATAAAAAATTTTAAAACTTAAAAACCGAGTTTTATTGAAAATCAAAACTTTGAAACAGCCGATTTTCTTGAAGGCACTTGATATTTTATAGTTTTACTCAAAGGTATTGAGAAGTTCTATTACCGATATTTCGAGTGTCTCAGATTATTATGATTTAAAATTTCCGACCATGGGTATTGGTAAAGGAAACTAGCCACTAATACCACCCCAGAAACTTGGGAGCATTCATAAAACCTATTTGGAAAAAACTTCCATTCCCAAAAAATTTCAGAGCTTTAGTGAAATGATGGCGGATTTATATAAACCAAGACACAAAGAACGAGGAGGGTAAAACGGCCCGGGTCCGGTGCTCTACAATATTTTTTTTGCAAATCGTTTTCTCCAACAACTCACTAGAATCACCGAATCATTGCCGGACTTGATTTTTTCCTACGTACCGACTAAGACAACAAAATTTCGAAATGGGGTTGGAAGTAAATTTGAAAGTAGTCGCTTCGGTTTAATTCGAAATTCTCAAATAATAAAAGTGTTATTTAAAAAAATAGAAAATATAAGTTTATTTTTTGTTAGCTAAATACGTAGTATATTTTTCAAAAAATTTTCCCCAAACCTCTACTTCGCTAGATATTTATCTAAAAATACTCCTAAAATTTGGAGTAGATTATCTAGCCATTTTATCAGCACTTGTTGAAAATGCAAAGCAACCCTGTCCTTAACCAGGTGATTTTAGAAACTTTGTGCACTGCGTAAATAAACATTCTTATCATAACAATTTGTGCGCATTACCCAGAATTTTCAACAAATACTTCTATAAACACAAAATAATGGATTATGCTCCATTAAATTTGGTGAGAATATTAAATAAAGTCACTAAGACGCATAAATTTGACATAAAATGCATTTTCAGGCACATTTTCATGAACGTCGTGCTAATCGCTTTCTCAATCGCCATCGCTACGACGATGCCTATAAGGCAATAGAAACCTCATTGATATATCTACAAGATGCATTTAAATCGGCATTGATGCCAAAATCCGTCGAATTGCTGAATACACAAAAATGGGAATATCAGAGAAAGTTAAGTCAAATACAAATGCATAAGCAAGAGCATGAAAGTTTAAAGCACAAAGAGATTGTGCCACTATCGGCCACAACAACAAACACACCACCCGTATTATTATTCAGAACAGACAGTAATCTGACTGCACAATCCGTAGCTAAATCCATTGATCGGACAGTACGAGAATTTGACACTAAACTCAACATATCACCAATGAAGCGTACCAACAGCAGAGAAAACAAAGACTATCGCAGTGCAAATACTATCGCTGAGGAGCATGGTGGCACACCCAAAGGATTTGTGAAGGCAATTGCACAGTGCCCATATGAACGGGATGCAGGCAGACCAGCTTTTTACATCACCGATAGCGATGAGATACCCTCGCTAACACCGCTCGAATTACCCTCTTTTGAATATCATTCCTACACCTCAACTCCACCCTTGACTGATTTAAGCGAGAATTTCAATAAATAATAGTTAGTATTAGTTTCAAGTATATGACGATCTCTTGCGAATGGCAATATCCCGACATCATATGTATTATGTGTATCAAATAAATATACAATATTGTAAGTTTAATTCATTAAAGTATTATAAAAAGATTTATATTGCTAAAAAAAAAATTTATTTCGCTAACAATCCCTGAAGTAAGGCTTCCATATCGGTTTCTGTTTCGACATTCTTTAACAACAATAATACCTGCGCTTCCATTTCATTCAATAAAGTCGGCTTACTGTATGTTATAATCAATGTGTTGTACTGATGGTGTGTACTAATATTTGCTTGCGACGGAAGCAGATTACAACGGTCCAATTCAGGTACTGAGATTACTTTGTAATATTTCTTATTTGTAGTACGAACAACAATCGCGCGTTTATCAGGTTCTGCTGTAACTTGGTATACTTGAATTGGATATGGTAAATTACGTATACGCCATTCTATGTTCTTCTTGGTGATACGTTTGGTAATCACTGGAGATGAGTTACTTTCCAGAAGTGTGAAATCATTGTTTATACTCGAGTTGTCTGCATCGCCACCGCCAAGGCCCTGATTAATTTGGCGTGGCGTTTCTCCTAATTCGACTTCCCACTCGGGTTCCCCCATAAGTTGCTTGCACTTACGCCACGCTCTTCGTTGCACAATGCCTGTCTCCATGCTATATTCTTCAGCCATTTGCTGGCCATCAGGAAATTTATAGTGTATTTTGCGGCAATGGCCACTAATCATTGAATGCTTTTCAGCACTACGTAAGTAGTTAAGCCAATTTTCGTAGGACATTTTGCCTTTAAACTAATTTCAATATATATATTTTTTGAATTATGAGTGGCGGAAATTATTTAACTTGACAATATCTATGATATTTGTTATTTTTGAAGTGTTTGATCGAAGTAAATACGTTGCTATCAGCGCACGTTTTGTTTTGAAGCAGTTCCGCGTGCTGCCACGTTAATAATAAATTTCAAAACAAAACATCAATAATATATAGAAATAAATAAATACATGTTTTTTATAAATTACTCATGTATTCTGCATAATTACTTAACTAATTTTATGAATACTTATTATAAAAAAAAATTGTTTAGTTAGTAAGAGAATGGTGCGATTGTATGCAACCCTGCCGCAAATATAGTAGTAACACGAATATTTGCCGGTAATTTTTAATTGTCCTGCTTCCACTCATTTAATTTGAGTATTAATTCGATGTTAAAGGGAGTACGCTAATATACCCATGGAAATACACATCATCGACTGAATTTGACTGAATTTCAATCAAAGCAGCGACAAACGCAGTAGCAGCGCAGTTCTATATTTTCACAAATTTCAATCTATAAAAAGTAAGAAATTTAAATTACTAGGGTAATAAGCTAAAAATAGTACAAAAGACAAGGCAGGAGACATAAAGCATAAAACATAAAAAGTTTTAAATTATATTGTTTTGTTTTTATTTTCGCTGAAATTATTACAGCTCATCAGAATTGCAGAAGGAAAGTTGTTCCAGAAACCTATTATTTTGTAAAGCGCAGCAAATATGAGTCTGGTCTGGACTTTGATTGCTACATTTCTGTACGCAGAAATTGTCGTAGTTCTTCTCTTGGTTTTGCCCATAGCCAGTCCATACAAATGGAACCGACTCTTCAAATCGAAGTTTCTAGCGATGCTGGCACAGCAGGCGCATCTGTACTTCTTCCTCATTATGGGTGTATTAATTTTATTCCTTTTGGATGCCATACGTGAAATGAGGAAATATTCGTCCCATGAAGCTGGCGGTCACGAACATCTGAATGTCGAAATGCAGCACAGCATGCGGCTCTTCCGTGCACAACGCAATTTTTACATTTCTGGTTTTGCAATTTTCCTTGTGTTAGTCATACGTCGTCTCGTTACGCTGATCTCTGCGCAAGCAAACTTATTGGCTCAAAGTGAAGCTTCGATGAAGCAGGCACAAAGTGCCACCGCTGCTGCCCGCACATTGATGGCTGAAAAGAGTACCGAGAAGGCGAAGGAAGCCACTGAGGATAGTACACTCACTGAGGTAAGTGACGTGTTACCAAATTGTTTGTTGTTTTATTGGTTCAATTTGTTATTGGCTTGGGCTGTACAGAAAAGAGTTCTTGTACCGAGAAGTGTGCATCAAACAATCTTTTGGATTTTTATCTGAGTAATATATTTTTGAATATATTTTTCACATACTCAGTTTAGTTATAGATTTTTGTAATTTGGAAAAAGCTTTATTTACTAATCTCCGGCCCTAATGAGGAGCAACTGCTCTATATAATATACATTTTGTCAAGCGACTCTATGGATGTATAGTAAAAAAAAAAGTTTTTTTTTAACGCTTTCATTGCTTGTATAAAAAACGCATTCGTTTATATTTTTCTATTCACTCCAAGAATATAATTTTCTATTCCTTTCGTCGTTTACTCTCACCGGGCAAAATGCACAGATATTAAAGTTGCGGAGACGTGTACAAGGACTCAGTGCCAGCCTCAGCTAAATATTAAAAAACAAGTTTGCTCGCATAAATCACATAAAATAATATATTTAAAGGAACATTGTATTGTAAATTCCAAGACAAACACACATAGTGTGGACCTTAGCTTTTCTAAAAAAGAACAAATATGTTAAAAATTATATCACTTTCAGCTCAGTGAATTGCGTAAGAAAGTACAAGAACTCACATCTGACTTGAATCGTGAGAAGAAGGACAAAGAAGCTTTAAAATCACAAGCAGAAAGCTTAAACAAGGAGTACGACAGACTAACCGACGAGTACAGCAAATTGCAAAAGAAGATTACCATTAGCGACAGTAGCAGCGGCAAAGGTGGTGAGAAGGATGATTAAACGAACTAAGAATTCAGTACTCGGTAGAGAAATATTTATAACTTAACCATTATAAATATATTTTTGCTACCGTAGCACATGTGCTGCTGTTGAAACGTTTTAAGCACTGTCGTTAACATCTCAAAGAGACTTGAAGTTTGAAATTGTTAAAATGAAAAGTGATGAGTTTATCTAAATCGAAAAGAATTATCTTAAATAATGTGGATTTATAATAATAGTATATCTCAATATTCATATATACATTAAAAATAACAAAGGACTAATATTTTTAAAGATCAGAATGTTTCTTCAAATTGCTTTGTAGTTCTCTTAAGAATTTATTTTTAGCGTGTTGGTTAATATTTTCTCACATATATAAACGTATTATTTCCTTTTGTATGCATAAATTATGAATTATTAATAAATGCATGTATGCTTGAATTGACATACAAAATTCGCGCTTATTTAGTCATTTAATTATTTTATTTATTTCTCCATGTGCTTAATGACACTTACCCTATTGCAAAATATTTTTTTAAATGTCATGGAAACCTCAGCTAGTGTGTATCATTTACTATGCGGAATGATCATAAGCACATACACGCACATAAGAAAGCTGTGGAGATGATGATTCATTTTTGTTTGATTCGTTTATTAGTACACATCAGCTAACGATGGCATTTAGAGTATGCGTGTACATTTCATATTTCAGAAGCGGCTTTAGACATCTTAACTAGTTTTTAATACCTAGATTTTAGTATTCCTTTATTAAATGAATGTTATCTTAATAATTTCATTATTAAACAATTTTTGCTTTGTGTATCATTTCTGCATGTCAATTTAAAGGTTTAAACTACGAAATCATCTGATAAGCAAGTACACGAAACACACAATAATAAAATTGCTATCAAATGTAATTGCGCTGTTAGTGTACTTTGATAACGGCGACAATAATTATCGCTCCTTTCTTAGGACAATGAGTATTCGTTAATTGATTTTAGTCATAAATATTTATTATGTATATAACGGCACTTAAAGTGATTTACGTACAAACGTTATTTCATTTAGTTCTCAAATAAATCATTTAATTCATGACCACCAAAAACTGACCGAAAAGCTCTCGCTTTCGGCACGCACATAATGCCACCACTTCGGCGGTATATAAAGACAATCACCATCTTGCAAAGTAACATTATAAAAGATTGCTTTCGCCGACAACGGGAATTTTTCGAAGTCTAACTGCGCTGCATCCAATTGCGAGGTATTACAAAGCATTTCCGATTCGTGTGCATAAAGATTGGGTGTATCTGCTGGTGATGCCAAGATTATATGTTTTCTACCAAATACTTGACACAGTAAATTGTGTTCGGGATCATAATGTAACGGTGATATGGTATTCTTAGGACCCAACCATGCTTTTATGGACACGTGCGCAGGACTTTCGGAATCACTCGTACGCAAGATACAGTAGTCCGGTATGCGTATATCGGCCTTAAGCGCTGGTATCTGATCGAACAACTCGTGCTGCGCTAAGTATTCGATTTCATTGTCGGTGTTTGTGAATTGACGATGGAGGAAGTCACGTATTTTCACTAACTGCTGTGACCATTCATCGGTGGTGTAATTAGAACCAATTTCAATTGGCACTGTGCGATTACCCGCCAGTTGGTGTATGTAATTAAGATCACGCCACTTTTGCAAAGCTGGCCAATGCGTTATCGTGTTGAGTAGCAATGCGGGACGGTCAGTTTTGAAACATTTTGTGCGAAAATCTTGTATTGAGGGGCAGTCTAAAACTGCTATGTCGCATTTAAGTTGTTGTCGCTTGAGTGTCTTGATGATTGGTAGTGGTGTCTGTGTGCTGTTTTCTTTAAAACAATAAATATTGCTTTTGTTTTTATTAATATTAAAAAGTTTAAGCTTACCTAAAGCTTTACTAATATAACCTGTTAGTTTGGTTTGGAACTCGTCACTTCCTTCATATAATCCTTGTGTGCAGCCAATCAGTATAGCCTCATCGAGCACTTCAGCACATCGCATTAATTGTTGTTGGGAAACACTTTCGCAAAGCAAATAGAATATCTTTTAAACATAATTTCAACAAAGGAGCTCTTATACCCATTTCACTTACTTTGAAATAATTGGATAAAGCATACAATTTACGCACTTCCAATGGCACTGCACTGAAGTGCCCAGTGTGTATGCGTTCCCAGCATTTGTCAGCTAAACTACGGACTAAGTAGTACACTTCCTCGTTGTATTTATATGTTGCTGAGTTTGCCTTTTCAACGTCTGTTGTGGCCAAGCCAAGTACGTAATTTGCTTCAGGCTCATTTTCCAATATAGTTTTAATATCGTTGTATTTTGGCAAATATTTATAAATCTCAGTGTATTCTTCCATTTGTTTACTATTTTTACACAGCTCTCCACATCTTTGTCTCTACATTTTTTTTATTTGATAGTGGAGAGACAGCTGTTTGCTCTGTGTTGCCGGAGTATTTATTTTATAAGAAATTTAACATAATTGTACCAGACTGAACGAAAACAATTGAATTTTGATTTATTTTACAGAAATTAAATAAAACAAATTTAGATAATAAAGAAAGTCTAAATCAGTGTCTCTGTTGTTCATACTTCTTGAACGTGGGAGCTATTTTCGCAGACTATTGATTCCGCAACTTCGGCGAATAATACCTTGTTCTTGTTAATATATTCACTAATCTACACTGTCCTCACTCCTGTTGGAGGTTTATAAAATTAAATCAGAATTGCACAAGGAAATTATCTAAACTTGTGATTAAGTGTCGATTCGATTTCAGGAATCATAATAACAAATCAAAATAACAGCCTTAAAATGAATAACATCCGGGTCAATTTCGGTAACGTATAAATGGCTGTTGTGGGAATAATATCGCATCTCTAGCATGGAAGGGGTGGATCGGGATACAGTTATAATCTTAACTTTCTTCTGAAGATGCTTATGACAGATAACTGTTAAAGAGACATTGAGAAAACGGTTCTCATCTGAAGTCTGGAAAACAGGAAGAGTTGTTTCTGATCACCCTATCCATCACCACCACTGTCCTGAGTCTGAAAACTCGGAACGCCATCCGACTCTTTCTCTGCGAGTGGTATCTTGGCCGTTCAATTCTCACCTAGTGAGATCAGGCAAACTGTCTACGAATAAAAATTTATGTTGTTGCCACGTCGCAAAATTTCACGGTACTAACGAGAAAGCCATTGCCACGTACGGATCCAAAAAGAAAGCGATTTATTAACAACTTTTCTGGATCATTAGATAGCATTACATAAACAATGATTAATCATAATAACAACCCCTGACGAGTATGTAGGTGAGAGCGATTTTTTGCATTTAGTGAGAGAGAGATACCTGTGGTTTGTCGAGAGTCCATAAGGAGCAGGTGCGACTAATACCCGTTTAAGTAGTACTCCCACTTGTACTACTTCTTTTGGTATTTCGTTCAGTGCTGAGCAACAGTTAGTTATATTGAGGTTCACGGTAGTTGTCGTGCTTCTAATGATTCCCGATCCTGCCACACGCCTCAACTAATCAGCACGCAATTGAAGCGTGCAGTGTCGAGTGGCAAAGCACACGTGCAACGTTAACAACAACAACAATACTCATGATTTCATTGCAACCATTTGCAGCAACATGCTATGCGGCCTACCCATCGTCGGCTGCTGCTGCCACATGCGAGCTGCAACATTGTCTCTGGCATGCCAAACATTCAATCCAATCAAACGAGGAACTTAAAATAGAGCAACAACACACATTTCTATAGATACGCTGTCGTAAACGCGCACTTCGTGTTCAGTTGCGTTGAGTCGGTTGGTCTGCTCCTGCCGGTGGCGGTGCAGGCGCGCCACAGATCACGATCGCGTCGGGAAGATAAGCGCAATCAACGCGTTCTGCCACTTGGCACTTTTCGTACGCTTGTGTCGTTGCTGTTTTTGCTCTTTTTCTTATTTCTTCCGACGATTTTTATGGGTTTGCTTTGCTGCTGTCAGAGCTACTTGCAACATGGATTGGCTTATTGGCAACACGCCTGACGCGGCACATGACGCAAATGGCGCATTAACTGCGGCAAATATGCCGACGACAGTAACGACGGCGATGAACGCCACAATAATTGTAGCAACATGACCATGTTGCCAGCAGCTGTTGCTATTACTGCTTGTTTGTTGTTGCCTAGTTTGCTGTGCGTGTGGAGCTCGCCGTCTTCTGCGATTGTCAAGAGATCTTGGTGATCGATAAGCGGGAGTGTGTTGCTGTTGGTATTGCTGCAGATTTGTTAGTGGATCCACTACGTCTTGCGTATTGTGAGAAGGGGCGGTTATTTTGGATTTATCAAATTCGACGTTTTTTTTGAAGTTTTTTTTTTCATTCAGATTTGGAATTTTAGCGCAAGATCCAAGATCAACACAATACGAAAGTTTTAATTAAAGCCATTCAGTATACTGGGTTGAAAAGCGAGATAAGGTCCTGGTTAGGTGAGGTTAGGTTAGATGGCGAATCTATCAGAATGGCGGGGGGATCATACTTATACTGTTTTGCTCAGTTCTTGGTTAAGCCAGAAGATAAACTCCTGTAGTTGGATATTAGCCATCGGCAGTTGTTTAGTTGTTTTATTCCTATTTTCACGAACACACCTGGATGTGTAAACATATGAGATTCGTGGTGTTTTTGCCTTGATCTGGCAAAGGTGACACATTTGAGAAGGAAGTGCTGAGATGACTCTATGTCATCTTCTCCAAACAGCTGCTGTGGACGCCATCCGGTAATTTCGGATGTTCAATCTTATCGCATTAACCCCGTTCAGAGAGTTGGAACTACAACCATTGGAATGTGGACTTTACTGAGAGCGAAGAGCTCCCGAGAAATTAGGACTGTTGATAACTGGTAGTTGACCAACGCTTGCTGAGCTGGTCTGAAGCTCAATAGTCCAGCGCACAGTCAGTGAACTTAAGGCTTATATCGCTGTTCTGCTTTCGGAGAGCCAGGCTCCACTTCAATTCTAAATTTACTGCAACCACCTATGAAGAAATTAGGATCGTCATCTTCGTCTGTCTTGAAGAACCTGAAATAAATGTATTCTAAGTTTTGGATCTGGTCTTTTAGGCAAGCTCCCTTCCTTTTTTTTTGACCAGGATGAAGGATCTCCAGTTCTCATTGACTT